TTCGGTAGGCAAGCCCGCCCCGCCCGCACCCATTAGGATTGCATTAGCTTGACCAGGGCGCCAAGCTGCGCTACGCGCGGAGAGATGTAGAGCGTCCGCCGCCGTTGGCGCGTTAGTTCATTGTGTTATGGTAATTGTTACGGTCTGGATGCCATTCGGTCGTGACCTTGTGCTCTTCTCCCTCTCCCGATGGCCGGGCCCGTCCTGATGGGCTGGAATGACTTCGACACCTCGTGTCACAACACCATCGTTCTGGGAGTAGCAGTCGAGTAGTCGAGTAGTTTCGCTAAATGGGATTGCGGTTATGGGATTCAGTCCAGTCATCGACCTTGAGCCCGTGTTGGGCTGCGTGGTGTGGGGGATCCTCCCGGGTCAGGGAGAGAATTGTTGTGAATCCAGAAAAAGCCCTTTCGTTTTATAAAAAAGTAAATTTATTGACACAATTCACAGCTTCTATGTACATTTAATAAAAAATAACATTTGTGTAAAAAAATAAAGTGGTAACTAAATCACATGGAAGCGACATAAGGACACGCAGAATGATGACAAATGAACATATGCTTAAATGAACAATTTTGTGCAAATGATGAAAACGAACGAAATGGTGATTTCGCATGATAACGTACGAGTCTGTGAAACAAAAATTGACTAGTCCTTTCACATTCTTATTTACACTCCAGCGCTCTTTGACTGCGCATCGTCAAGGGAGCAGGGAAAGAGCGCCGAGAGTCGCTTTCCCTCTGAGCACACGGACGAGAGCTTGACACATTTGTACAATATGAGCGATGGCGTGGGCTGACGATACGAAATGGACGCCGTGCGCTCAGCGCGCTGCCAACGCTCTCTGCTTAGTGAACGAAGTGTATGAGGTAGCGCGGCGTCGTCTGTCCAAGCTAGTTATGAGATTACGTTACACTTACTTAAACCTAATAGTAGTTACAAATGAATGAAAGTGTTGACCACGGGGCTCTCGCTGACACAGGTGGGATGCTTGGAGACGAAGGGGTTGTCCTTGTACTTACAGGGGGGTGCCGTACGAGGAGGACGGGGAGCGGGCGGGGCCGGAGGGGGTGCCGTAGCTGCTGGAGGGCGCGGCCGGGATGGGCAGGTCGATGCCGGAGGCGCCGCGGGCGTCGGTGATGATGCCGTCGTCGGCGTGGATCGGGTTGGCGGGCGCCGGCGCGATGGAGTTGGGGTAGCCCTCCTCCTTCTGGGCCTTGTACTTGATGAAGTAGACCTCGGGCTTGCTGGGCGGGGTGGGAGGGGGCACGTTGACCTTGACCTCGGGCTGCTCCTCGGGCTTCTTGACCAACACGTAGATAAGGGTCTTCTCCTCGTCCTGAGGAGGCAGCTCAACGGTCTGCTGGGTGGGGGTAGGCGGGGTGGGGGCCTTGATGAAGACGATCTTGTAGTGCTTCTGTGGCGGCGCAAAGGTGGGGCGCGCGCGCGGGGCCTGCACCTCGTGTTCCTGGGGGGCTAGGTGGACATAGATGTGTTTGTGGACGGTGGGTTCCTAGAGGGCAAAAAAAGAAGAGACCGGAGTGAGGGACCGACCGGAATACCCAGGCCGAAAGCAGCAGCTCTGCAGGCGCGCTAAAAATGCTAATTTATGAATACCCTCCATTTTTTCTGCCGTCCACTAATAGCATACCCGCTCGCGCTGTTCGCGCCATCCGCCCCGTGCTCAGCCAGGGATATGCGCACCGGCCGAGACCAGGTTTAGCGGCCAACACTTCGAGTGCCAAATTAGAAAGTATTGTTCCCCCTTTCTTTTATTTACCGAGCTGCATTGAGCAGTTGTCCAAGAAATTACATGGTAAAAAGATATGAATGGTACGTTACCTGTCGTGTGGCGGGCACCCCGTAGGCCGGCCCCAGCGAGCTGTAGGAGGAGGGGCCGGTGGGCGCGTAGCTGGAGGCGGAGGCCGAGGTGTAGGAGCTCTGGGGTGGCGGCGGCGCGCGGTAGTTGTAGCCGCCGGGAGCCTCGGCCTTAGGGCGCGCCTGCGCCAGCGCCGCCAGCGCGAGAACCTGCGGACAGACGGACGTTGAGAACACGACGGGGCGGGCGACTGTGGCTGGGGGCGGGGCGGTGTTCTTCGGGCACCTCAGGCCACCTCAGAGCACCTCCAAGCTCCTCGGGCAGAGGCAGCAGCATAAGGTACGAACGCACACCAGCAACCGCTGCCCCACCTGCTCGAAGAGCCCAGTGAAGCCTGCCAATCCGACAGCGTCGCGGTGACGAGCTTCCTCTGCGGCCGCGGCGGGGACGCGGACGTCGAGATGCCCGGCTTTGCCCCAACATCAGCAAAACTCGACAAACGTAACCGTCAGCGCCGATGTAAGCCTGGCCGGTGCAGCCGCACGCCTTTAGGAGCCAGAATCGTTTTTCTTTCCTCCCTCCGATCTATCTCCGCCCCCCTTCCTCTTGAACCGATTACAGCGTTATTTGTCGCGTCTAGCGTAGATCTTGATCGGTACAGCGGGAAACAGGTCCGACTGCGGAACTGGCGGCGGGGCGGGGCGGGGCGGGGCGTGCCACGCTGAGATCAGACCTGCGATGTGATCAGCGCAGCCGCGGGCCGATTATATGTTTTCACGCGGATTGAGGAAAAAAATGGAGCGCGTAGTGGTGCTTAGTCATTTAAGGGGGAGGAGCGTGGAACCACGGCTATTACC